AACTGGATCTACGTCCATGGGAGGGAATCAATCAAATAGTTCACTAAGGCAAAAGAAATGGAGAATACATAGCTTATACATAGAGATGAGCGCTCATCTTCCTTCTATGGTCTCCCTCTCATGCGACACCTTGATACAAGGCCTCAAGATGCTCTCATCCTCTCTAGCTCTCTAGCTATTCTCTCCTCCTTTGGGGTAGCTTAAGATCTCTTCCCTTGCTATCCTAAGCCTCACACCCTCTCTATTTATAGAAGCAAGAGAGTGGTAGGTGGGAGGTAGGTGAGCGGTAGGTGAGATATGGTAGGTGAGCGGTACCACATTACAAAAGTGTCATTTTACCTTCGTTCAATAATTGGGGGTCAAAATAACAATAAAAATATTTAAGTTTGTTGGATTAGTTAATAAAATGATAATAAATTGGGAGCCATAAATATTTTTCCAATGATTTATACGCATTTTTATAATGTTGATCATAATTTTTAATAAATATTTAATAAAGAATTCTATGTGAGATTTAATTCAGGGAGGTCTTCATACAAATCTGAAATTTCTTATATATTTTTATATATATAACCAGTAGTTTCTTATCTCGTTTCATAACATTGTCTTTGATGAATCCAAATTATCCTGTGAGAGGTGCCCAAGAATCAAAGCGGAAGAGACATTGAGGGAACAAAAGAGAGGGACAGAGAAGGAAAAATAAATAACACGCAAAGACTTTTCAGGTAGGCACTAACTGAGGTACCTTTTGTATATATGAAAATAGCGATTACATTCAAAAGAGAGAATTCTCCCTATGAGAAAAGTCACAAGAGAAGAGTTGCCTTTTATATACTATAGACTCACTATTTATCCAAGAATGAGCTAGTCATAGATTTTTTTAATCTTTTTATTAATGCTTTGCTTTAATAGTGTAGTTACATGTTTTTATAGTGTCTTTTCCAACTCCCACTTTAATAGGGTAGTTACGAATTGTTATGGTGTCATGTTCCATTCATAACAGATTTTTAGCACCTACTCGTGATCTATTTTTTTTTTTTCTGGATCTTCATATTATCTCGAGATTCGTGCAAATAATTTTTGGGTGTTTAGCCTTAAACTCACGCATGAAAATATTTATTTCATTTTTAAACAATTCATAATAATAAAATTTTTTATGTCGTATTAAAAATCTGAGTTCATAAATAAAATATTAAAGATTTGATAATTAGTATGTAAATAAATAAAATTCAGTGGTATATATATAAATGTCCCTTTAATTTAAAATATGATTAGATTTATACAGCATCCGTAACCTTTTCCTCCCTCAATATTATAAATGAACCAGCTATCTTTCCAGCTTTTCAGTCCCCTCCTACTCCATCGTCATTTTTAGACAAAAGAATACATACCAAGGTCTATGTATTTCCTCTCCTCCTTTTATTTCTTCAATAACACTCGATTCCTTCCCAATCTTATTCATCCCTCGCTACTTGTCTTCCATGAATCGAAAAGGTTCAAATTTGATGGGTTTTATAAGTTCGTTCATTGATTTGATGACATTCTGAGATTTCTTGTTTTCTCCTGTAAATTCTCTATTGAGTTTTCAAAGCATTGACGCTATTTGGAACGAGTTCCATGTAAAAGAAAATCTTTTTTCATTGTTTGGCTTGGTTTTGTTTTCGTTTGATTTAAGGCAGCCTAGATTAATAAATCCTACATAAATGGCATGGCTAGAGGAGAGACACCCACAATTTGAGAATTTTGTTGGGATATACTTGACGGATGCAGACGAACGGCATTGTAAATCAGCTAATGAACAAAATTTGTCTTATGAGAATTGCCAGCTTCCAAAGTCATCTAATGTTGAGCAGGCTGGTGTTGACATGGATTTGGAGTGTGGATCTATGGATTTTAAGGCAATTGTGGACAAGTCTGAGAAAGATTGCAGGATCTGTTTCATTAGTTTAAAGGACTTTAGCCAGGAATTAGGCGTTCCAATTATGTTGGGTTGTTCCTGCAATGGTGATTTGGCTTTTGCTCACCAGAAATGTGCGGAGAAATGGTTTGAACTCAAAGGAAACAAGTGAGTGATTTTTTATTTTTTTTTTTATTTTTACTTGTTGATGTTTTGGCTTCGAATTTTTACTTATTACTTCATGATTAGTAAGTGATTTTTTTTTTCTTTTTTTTTTTTTTGAAGGTAAGTGTTAGAAGTTACAAAACTTATCTTGAAAAAACAAAAGAGAACATATGTTTTTTTTATGGTTGAAGGAGAAAGAAAAGCATGTTAGGGTTAAGAATTTTTGTAACTATCAATGAAAATACTAGTTGATGTTTTTGAACCTAAAGTTGGATAGAGTTGTTAGGGTTAGGACATTGAAATTTTTCAAATATCAGACTGATTATAATTTTTCAATGGTTGGTTATTCTTTCGGTTGCTTTTTAAAATAATAGCAAAGAAGAAATTTTCGCAGTTCTACAAAATTTTTAGCATGCGCATGTGTCACATATGATAGTTGTTAATGAAAATGAAATTAAAAGGAAAAAAAAAGGAACTTTCATTCTTTCTTTTGAATGATCTTGTACAAATTCTGAATCATATGTCTGTCTTTTTTCAGGAACTGCGAAATTTGCGGGTCAAAAGTAAGGAATTTGGTTGGATTTGGGGATGCAGATTCTACTGAGAATTCAATCAAATCAGGCGATAACGATGCAGCAACAACTGAAACGCGAACGTTCTTTCATGGGCATAGATTGGTTAATTGTATCTTAGGAGGGATGCTACTCATCATTGTTCTATGTTGGCTTTTTGGCTCCCACAAAATCTGAGAATACTAAAACAAGTATAAAAATCAAATATATTTTATCTCTGATTATGCATGTTAACCAATGAACATATGATAAATAATCATAATGATTATAATGACCATGATAGATCATATAAATCTGTAATAGAGACAGAGCTGAAATGCTAGCTCCGGTAATGAAACTGTGAAATGTAATAATTTTTTTTAATTAAATATCATGATTCTCTTGCGTGTATATTTGGCAAAAAATATGTTGCAATATAAATTTAACATATTAACCCTGAATAATGTGGTAAATCTTAAATTTTTATATCATAAGATCAGAACTTGAATAATGATGGCATGAAAGAAGAGAAAAGCTAGAAACATGGAATAAAAGTTTTCCTTAGATTATTAGGAGAAGATGTGCAACATCTGAACCTGAAGCATGATCTATGTGTAGAGTGTTTTCAATCGTAAACTAAATTTATTTCTGTCATTTGTATATCAACTGCTTTTCCATATTTTCGGAACAGGAAACATTGAGTGAAATGGCAGCTAAATAAATCGATTAATTTGAATCACTTTCCAGCGATTCATTCAACCATAAAGATCTGAATAAACTTTTAAAATCGAAGTAATAAAATAATGTTTTAAATAAACGGCATTAAAAAAATTTCTAAATTTTTAAGTTCCTACATTTTATTTATAAATTAAAATTAAATTATAAGCTTTAGGCAATAATTACTGCAATCATTGCGGAGAAAATATTGCACCAGGACTCCGTACGTAGAGTTACGTGCGGAGTCCAATGAAATCATGTCACGTGACGGTGAGAATAAATAAATAAAATCTGTCTGATAACACAAGGAAATATTTTTCTCGTGTTATTCAGATATTATTGTGTATTATTCAAATATTATTGATGTGTTATTGTGTTATTATAACACCGAGAATATTTCTAGAACACAATTACACCTGTATAATACACAATAACACTTGAATAACACGGGGGCAATATTCCCTGTGTTACCGTGCCGATTTTTTTTTTCTGTCAACTTCACGTGGTGTGATTTCATTAGATTCTGCACTTAACTTCACGTGCGAAGTCCTGATGCAATATTTTTTTATCATCGAGGTAGGTGTACTTTTCCAACATGAACTTCGGCTTAAATGGATCCTCTGGTGGTGTTGTGAAAGAAAGCGAATTTGAGGCGATTTTTTTACTTTCAAAGGAGCCTTAGGATGTTTGCTAGTTTGCAAGGATGAGGTTAGCTTTTATGTTTTTATTTTTTTATTTTTTGGTATATATTCTTTAGTTATTTTCTTTTTTTTTCCGTACTTTCTTTCTGAACATTATATTATGTTAGAGATTTTAAAAACCAAAAATTAGAATGTGATTATTGTTAAAAATGGAAACGAAAATTAAAGATATAAAAGTTTCCTTAAATGCTTGTGAGTTTTAAAAGCATAAAATTAAATAATGTTAATATTATCAACAAAAAAATAAAATTAAAATAATAATAATAACCAAAAAATTAGAAAAATATATATGGGATGCATGGGAAGACTTTATAGCAGTGCATGTATGAAAAAAGTGTTAACACAAACTTAAAATCAAGAGTTGATATTGATGAAGTAGTTGTTTTGCCAACTATTGATTATCTTGCTATGTTTTTTAGGCTCAAAAGCAACCATGATCTCTATAAATGGTTCTGACTAGACCTCGGTTTTGTTATGTGCATCATCATTCATTGTAGAAAAGCTGGTTCGTGCTTAGAAACAAATGCAATCACTTACTCATATTTGATAATTAATGTGGGCATTAATAATTTTAATAGGTCAACACAAAACATGGATTTGATTTTTGAATTTGTGGAGGTGATATTTGAATTGTTGGAGTTCGATTATTATTTTATAATACTAATAATTGGGTTCTTAAAATCACCTTAATCCATATCTAAATCATATTCAAAATTCAAAAGAATTTTTTTTGCGAAGTTGCTTTTGATTGTCTGAAAACACGCCAACAAATTAATAATGATGACATCATAGCGAATAATCATAGTTTGAAAATCCATATGCATGCTCTTATGTTTTGGATATATTCACTGCTAAATTTCTTCATTTTTTATAATTTGCTCATTTTGATTGCAATAATGTCATGATAGCATATAAAGTAAACTTAAAAGCTTGAAATCAAAGTTTAAGTAACTGTTATACCAAAATTATTGACCCTCAATTTTCAGATGAATTTGTGAAAAATTGATGGCTACAAATGGTTGAGATGAGTGGATGCAAACAAGAAGATGGGCAAAAGCACGAGGATGCATGAATAGGAGAGGCTCACTTTGGCAAGTGATGCCATGGTTGTGGGGTGACATGCAAGACCTAGTGGGTCAAAATAGGTTGTCTGTTGAAGGAGATGAGTTTTGATTGTAATAAGAAATTACAAACTATGGATCCTTCGTTTAATGAAATAGGACTGCATGATAGAATTAACTAATTTTAATATCTAATCCTATCAAAATCCTAAATAATTTAATGCTCCAATGTAATTTTTTCTATGTTGAGTTTATTCTGATTCGACATAACAACAACAATAAGCTTTTATCCCACTAAGTGGTGTCGACGACATGATCCTTTTTCTCCATTGCGTTCTAGTGAGTGCCATGTTTTCATTTAATTCTAATAGATTAAAATCATTTTAGGTATGCCTTTGCTTCTCTTAACATAAATCTCAAGTATTTTTAGGTATGCCTTTGCTTCTCTTAACATAAGACAAATCTAGAACTTCTACTCTCCTTACCTGATCAAGAGATTGTTGACATTTAATGTGAACAAACCGTCTAAGGCGACTCTCTCTAATCTTTTCCAACATTGGAGCTGCACCAACCCTATCACAGATATATTCATTTCATATTTTTTTCTCTAAGTGTAAAGCCATTAATCCGCTTAAGCATTCTCATCTCAACAACACTTAAAATAATTTTATGCTTCTCTTTTAAAGGGAAACATTTTGTGATATAGAGCATTGCAGGTCTCACCACTATCTTATAAAATTTTCCTTTTAAATCTACGATGCACTTTTTTATCATATAATAAGCTCGATGTATTCCTCCACTTCAACGAGCTAACTTTAATTCTACTAATAACAACCCCATCTTTATCACAATAACTTGAATACTAGACACGAAATATCTAAACTCTTCACACCTTTTATTTATATGATCACCCATAGTTAGAACTCTGCCACTTGAGCTAATACTACTAAAATTACATTCCATGTGTTTAGTTTTAGGTCCACTCAAATGACAGCCTTTAGACTCCAATATAAACGTCCATAATTCAAGTTTTTCTTCAACTTTTTCTCTGATTTATCCAAAAGAAAGATATCATCAGTGAATAATATACACAAAGGTAGATTCTCCTATAATTTTCCAATAAGAATATCCATAAATAAAATAAAATGATATGGGCTTAGAGCAGATCCTTGGTGTAATCCAATTGTAATAGGAAAGTATTTGATCAATCCTTTTTCTGTTCAAACACAAGTAATAGCTCTAGTATACATATCTTTAATGACTTGAATACAAGTCATATCAACACTTTTCTTCTCTAGAACTCTCCAAAAAATCTCTTGGAACCTTTTCATAAGCTTTGTCTAAATCACTAAAAATCATATGTAGATCCTCCTTATCCTCTTGATATTTCTTCATCAAATCTATCAATAAATGTACAACTTCCATAGTAGACATGCATGACATAAATCCAAACTAATGATGAGAAATATTTTTATCATGTCTAAACCTATGTTCAATTATTCTCTTCCATAATTTAAACTTAATTCCTCTCTATAATCTGTGCACTCATTTGCATCTTTTGTATTCTTAAAAATGGTGGCCAAAATACTCTTCCTTCACTCCGTAGCTATATTTCAATTTTTAAAATAATATTAAATAAATTTGTAAGCCAAGAAACTCCAAATCTCTTAAATATTTCCGCGCTTCAATTTGGGTATCATATGTTATACTGATTTTCCGTCCTTTGTTTTCTTTAAAGATTCAAAAATTTCTTTTTTAATAATGTGAAGGTAAAAAATAAAACATTTTATTATTTTAATTTATATTAAAATCACTAAGGTCGATTGTATTTTTAGAAACTTCATTAAAAAGTTTATCAAAATAGCTCACTCGCCTATGTTGAATATCTTCCTCTAAGAAAAACACTTTTTATTTTCATCTTTAATACACAGTTTACTTGATGTAAATCTTTAATTTATTGTTTCTCTTTATTTGACTAATTTATAAATATATTTTCCACCCTCTTTAGCATCTAATTTATTATAAAAATCACTAAAAATAGAATTTTTAGAATCACAAATTGTTCTCCTAGACACTCTACAAGCCACATTTTATAATTTTCTCAATTCTCTAAGCTTTTACATTTAAACTAATTTTTATAACACAATTTCTTATATTTCTAACACAATTTCTTATATTTTATTTTTTCTTGCACATTATAATTCCACCCCAAACTATTTTTATTTATAAAAACTTTTTCTTTTAATTCTCTAAGTGCTTCTCTTGCCACTTGTTTAATAATACTTGTTACTTTTCTCACAAAGAATTTGTCTCTTCATAAATATCCCAAATCTTGAAATCATGAAGTTTACTCATAAAATTATTTTTATTTGTGTCATTTAGGTGCCCAAATATAATGCTATTGTAATATTTTATTATATTCTTTATCTTACAGCTCCTTATCTTAAAATCCAAAACTAATAATCAAAGTACTTAAAATTTCACTTGAAATGATATATTAATTATCACTTTTTTAAAAAAGTAATAATCAATTTGTATTTTATTAGATCCATTCTTATAAGTAGAAATATGTTCATCTTTTTCTTCTCAAAAAAATATTAGTATTAATAAAATCATGTGTTAAAGCAAAATCTTATATGGTTTTACTTTCTTCATTAATCACTCTGAAATGGTAGGTTTTATATGAGAGATGAGTTGGTTGTTGTAGAATATGGAATGAATAGTTTTGTTAGTTTTTACTTTTTAATTTTACTTACAGTGAAGATTTCAAAAAAATACTTTTTCTGCGTTCTTCCCAACATGCGTAGCTAAATTTCCATTCATGCCTCTGTGATTTAAGGTATGTGGTTTTTATGATTTTCTTTGATGATTTCTTTCTCTGTATCATTTTACTGAGGAATCAGGGCTCTTTTTGTTTGTTTTGTTAACTAGAGTTTTATTTACTCCTAAACTCGCCAATTAGGATGTTAACATTTTTTGTGATCTGTGACTCCTTTCTGTTGAACAGAGGAATGAAATGTTTAACCACAAAATATGGGTAACAATAGACTTATTTTATTTGGGTTTTGCAACCAAGAAAGAGGATTAGAGTAAATATATTGGATGACATGGGGATTGATGAAGCCTCAACTTCATAAATTCTAGCCTTTTTTTGACCTAGGCAACTAGGCATAAACATAAGGAGAATTTTTTATCTCTGTTAACAATTATCACAGAGGGTAAAGTCTAAGAAAGCCACAAACAACCACATCTCCTAAATCACAGGGAAGCAAGCCTTACATACCTTGAAGAACATTAAGATTTATCTGTCGTTGTTTTCATTTTTTTCAAACTCATTGTCTTTAGTTTTCACTTTTATGTAAGATTTTAGATAACCATCTCTTGTTTGTGATCACACAAAATTAGGTTTAAATGTGTAGTAATATAAAGATTCATCCTCCAAATTAATTCTTAACACTTTCCCAGTGAGATCGATATACAATACTCTTTAATTCTATTATTACTTGACATGTATACTTGTGTGATTCAGCCTACATGCTTCTCCGCAAATTTTTGAGATGTCAGTCTATCCTGATGTTAAGGAGTGGAGCCACATCTTGGCTATATTCATAAGTAAGAAAGGGAATAGTCTTATTTGAATGACATTATTAAATATATTATTATACCTAAAATTATCACATAGTTCTAAGAAATAAGCCAAGTGAAGGTGTGGATAATATGTGGGTGATATCGCAAACTTGTTGGTCTAAATCACTAGGTTGAGCTCAATTTTAGTTTAAATGTAGGGGTTTCTATGATGAAGTACTTAAGACTCATGTGAATTTCTACAAATAGTTGGTTGAGATACTCTTTGAGAACTTTATGTTGGTTTTATTAAGGAATTGCCATTTCTAAGTGTTGTATTTCATGTTTTATGATTTTTTGATTTCCTTTGTTGATGGTTTTATTAAGTTTAAGTTCAAAGGGCATTAACTCAACTAATCAAGTTCTACGCATACAACTATAAACTCTCAACTAGGTTACCTTAATCAAATGCAGCACACACCATGAGGATTCAAAACACACCAAGCAACCAACATGTAACACCATAGAATTTGAAAGATGCAATGTTTTTGGATTTGTCAGAAAAAATGCAAAAAAAGAACAAAAAAAAATTGTTTCAAAACCAGGCTATATCCTTTAATTAAAATTCTTCTTAAGTAAACACTTTGACTTGTTTTTTGGTAATGATGCCAAAAACTATACACAAAATTAATGTAAAGTAATGAATCAATCACATAAGTATACATGTCAATCAAGTTAATATATAGATTATGAGTCCATGCTTCGATCCTATAAAAAAATTAGTCAATTTCTCTAATAAATGAAACTCTAGTTTACTAGCTGCTAAGTTTAAATTAAGGGATTCAAATTTATAGAAGTTGAACGTTCAAAAATCTTAATTTAAGAATAAGAAAACCACACTAAAGTTATTGGAGTTTCTCAGAAGTGAAACGTTCATTCTCTGGTGACATTGGCCTAGTGATTTCTCGAATAGTTTTCCTATTGGTTCCCATGTTATTGTTAATAACTAGGGGTATGTACTCCTTAGCTTATGTTGAGGTCATAAGAAGAGTTAAAAGTCTATAATATAATTAAGGCTAAACTATGCAAGGCTTCATAAGAATCCTCTAATCCCTTATCTAGGTTATATTCTTCTACTGACAATATACATATTTCACTAAGTGAATGTGTTTCAACCTACTTTTTCTTCTAGTCATGAATTAGAAGTCCAAGATTAGAAGGGGATTTAAAAAATCTGATTGTCAAGATTAGAAGTAAATGAAGACCAAAAGGTTAACCCATCAACGTAACTAAATCCAAACATAGAAAAGTATGTAAGGAAAAATTTTAGGATAAAATAACAAAAAAAAATCACATGTATAACATCACAAGAGTATG